ACGATGCCGGCAAAACGTTTGGGAATGTACCGCGTCCACGGTCCGACTTTGGAAATAATTATGCATAAAACGGACTCAAGACAAGGTGCGTTCCTATAAGTCTTCCTACCAATATGACCAAGTTGCGAAAACAAGTTTAAACAACTTCATTACCTATTTTAGTTGTAGGCACCGCAAAGAAAAATATGAAGATGTATATTGAAGGCGTAATAGGAAATGTGATGCTGTACCAAGATTTACTATTGACTCAATTAAGGCCAAAATATAAGCTAAATTGATTGCCTATCACAGATACGAAAGTAGATGCCTTTATTTTTTGTGGTGGCAACAGTAAATATAAACCTTTACAGTCCATAATTTCTTTTCACAGTAATACCAACTTAATCAAAATAGAAACGAAATAATCAAGTTTATTTCATGAACATTTTCTAACTTATCAACAAGGTGGTTCGCTTAAAAATGGTGATTTGGATGAAGCCAAACTCTCAATATGATAGGATTGTCTCAAAAAATGAATAGTTGAATTATCTGATCTAACCTAGAAATTATCTAAAAATAACATTGAGTGGTAGTGGCTAATATGAAAAATTCATTCATAAATGCCATAATTCCACTCCACAAAATGGGAAAAATTCTCCCTGACATAATTGAATAATCTGATCCAGTATAGATTTGCTAGCAATTACTGATCAACAAGACTAAAGTTGCTATCTCAAACGATCAGGATTCTAAATCTCAAGCAGAATCAAATACAGTAAATTCACATGAAACAGCGATCGCACTCAGAATAGAAATATAAGACTTGTGTACTCTTAAATGAAAGATTGTTAAATAAGCAAAGGAGTAAACATATCACGACTAAGAATCGAGCCCACAGTTGATTTCACTCCAATGTTACATTAAGCCTTTCTCATGAGTTAAAACCTAGTATAATACCGATTATAAACATAATGGAACAGGGATGATTGCTTGGTATTTGCTGGAATCAGCATTATAGGAAGTTACAACAATAATTGCTTTCACTAGATTGTTTAAGACTGAACAATTAAACCCAAACCAAATTACCCTTAGCTACGTGAGAGATCATTTAGGGATGAATAATTGCCAGTTATAATAAAGTAAACAAATCACCTCGTAATCAATAAAAGCGAGTTCACAACGTAGCGGCAATTCTAGCTGATGTGCGACGCATCGTGTCATGAGCACAGCGTCCCCATCTACCAGAGCGACAGCTTCGTCGGTTGGCAAGGCTGAGGCAGTCGAGCGAGCAGCTAATTGCTCGAGTAGCAACAACTGATGCTGAGCCCGAAGGTTTGCTGGACCGAACAGGCCCTGAGTCAACCAGGATGGGCTGGACGAAAGGATAACTTATTAAAAGCAGTGAATAGGATAAACAAAGAATAAAGGCAATTAAAAATAAAATAGAAGCAACTATGTATTAAAAAATTGGAGGAATAAATTCGAGAAAGTATAAGAGACAAAAATGGATAAGAAAGAAAAATAGTGACAAGTCTTTAGTTTCTGTCAAACACAGCGACCCTCAATAGTGAAATTAAATAGGAGAGAAGGAAGGGGGTTCAAGGGGATCAGCTTCACTTGCAAGTTTAAATCTATGTAAGGATAGCGCCTCTCGCTGATGATGTCGGCGAAAAGTCTGGGGATGTACCAAGTCAACGGTACGGCACTGGAAATCATCATAAATATTTTGGCAAAGGCACATAACTAGACACGCTTGATAAAGTCTCCCTGTCGCTCCGACAAAGTTTGGAAAAGGTCAAGCCAACATAGTAGAAAAATATTGTTTAGGGCAAAAAAGAGCTATTATGACCCAAATCGTAGTGCAAAAAATCGCAGAACAAGTGTCGAAAATATCATAATGCGTTACTCGGTAAATTGCCGATCTCGGAACGAGTGAAAATATCTTCGATACCTTTAGGACAAAAAACATTTCAAAAAATTAAGTAAGCCCAGATAAATGATAATAATAAGCACTCAGACAGAGCAACCCAGTCAGATCGTCAAATCTAGCTTGTGATTAAGTTTAGCTCATAAGCAAGGTTCCTTAACATCCTCTAGATATTCCCTTAAGAGAATAGTCGTATAGTCG